CGTACGCTTACCATATTTGTAGATTATGGTATATTGGCTCATATACCATAATGGCTAAGCCAATAAAAAGTCTTGAATGGCATTATCCAATGATCCAGTTTTTAATAATAATTGTTAGTACCACAAACTGATCTAAGACCATCAAACAAGTCCAAAAACTATTCTGATAAATTTGATCAAGCTGAGAACACATTTGAGCAAGCTGATGGTAAATGTAACGTCATAGTTGGGAGGTCATGCTTGTTCAAGCTTATATCAGTCCACCTCATAATATTAAGCTGTACTGTACATCAACAGCTGTACTGTACAGTACAGCTGTACAGTACATCAACTGATCTCATGTATCTTTCAAGAACAATCAATAGTACTAACCGGCTTTCCAACTATAATGAAACATGTTGGTTTGGAGTTCAGAAACCTTCTCTCGGCCTGAAAAAATTAAAGTATTTACAGCGTACATGTGGTTACTATTCCACAAATGTGTGTATAATGTCCAAGATTTTAGATATTGGTAGTCTGAATCAAATACAAACATAATGTTTGTGACTTTCACGCTAGCAGCTGAAACAGTCTGATCGGTTGAGATATAACTGAACTTAAACTTGATACCCATACGACATTAAATCTCACACTAGAGCTTTTGAGAGCGACATTTCATCTATATTAACGGCATCCACACTATGTGCTATGTGGCCTGACGAGCTCTGTGAAACCACTAAATGCCCTACATAAATCTCAGTCTCAGATATAGCGAAAGGTCCGAGTGAGATAACGATGGAATAACATGTTTGACGTTAAAAACTATCTTCAAAATGCTTCAGTTCTTAAAAGCTAAATTATGAAAGATTTATCTGAAATAAATGTAGAAAAGAACAGCAACTCAAGCCTGAAAAGGAGCTAAGCGCGTCAGTTTCCAACATGTCTCTAACAGGATAGCGCTAGATCTTTCGTTTACCTCGTCTTCATTGAATGGATCTACATCACTTGTGTTGATGTTGGGCGAGATTTCAACATCAGTCATCTTTCTGTAGGTTTAGATTTGAAGCCTGGAATAAATTCAGTTAACTTTCCGTGAGTTGCTGTGCATTTCGTCGCTGACTGACTTTGGGTTATTCCGTATTGTGTGCTACCATGACAACTATGATGTTTACAGTCCAAACTGCAGAGGACTGGAACTAAAATATACGATCAGTATCATGGTGTGCAGCGTGACTGAAGGGATTGATATTCAGCCATTGAGCGAAGTTACTGACCCAAGTGTAAGAGTGAAACATAATTTTTGTCATTTAAACCGTTACGGGATTTTTTTTTTTAGCGTAGAGTACCATAATTAATAAGCCTGATTTTAAAAATACAAATTTTAGTTCGACTGACATTGTTTGCCTAATAAAACAATACTCGCCTACATTCTTTCATCAAAGGAACACTTTAATTTTGCGGAATCCCCCATCGTACCGTACTCCACCGAGTTGTTTCATTTTTGACGTCACAAATGATAGCGCGCGGCAAACGTTGGCCAGGCAAAAATCTCTTGAAGTAACAGCTTGAACTGCTACTTCATTTTATCACTCCAAATATATCGGTCAAAACTGACGAGACTTGTCTCAAACAACTAAAATGTCGTTCATTACGATTCACTTTGGAGGTAAATCTTGCCTTTTATTGCGATATTTTTAATAAATTAAGGCAGGAGTCGTTGTTTTAATTAGTTATGCAAAATCTTTCTCGTTTCTCTCTGCTTTTCAGAAAACCAGAAATTATTTTTCAACCTCCTTTGTCCAACTGTCATATTGTATAAAAACATAAAACTAAGGTGTGGATGCGAAGAAAAAGGTACCAAACTCTTTAGTCTTACAACCATTGAATCCTGATTCGAGGATGAGCTATTTTTTTAGTCCTCCAAAAAAATCAAGGACTCGTGGAGAATTCCTCACTGCAATGCTTGCCTGTATTCTGTTATTCATATAATACTTTCTCGTAGCTGTTATAGATATCGCAGATGAAAACGGTTGTCTAAAAACCATTTATGAAAGACCACCAGATCAATATGCATCTCAATACCTTCAAGGGAGAGGGAACTTTGTATTACTCAAAGTTTTAAGTAAGTTTTATTTTGTTTCTTTTTTTTTTTCTTTCTTTCCCTTTTTAATGTAACATTTTAAAGCATGGAATCGTCGGTGTATTGTAAAAACATTTTTTGTTGATGTATGCTGAGACCATTGATCTGCACTTTAATTGTTATTGTACAATGATAAAAGGATGTTTTCAAGTCAATCTGTTTTGACAAGAGATTACTGAGCCAAAATAGTCCAAAACAGTTTAATAATTACTGCAATGAGATGTAGCTGTAAGGATTTATTGTTTAACTGCACGAAGAGACAAATGACTAGTTTGAAGCTTAGGTTAGTTATAGTTTAAAGAAAATTTTATTGTCAAAATGAGTTAAAATAGATAACGTTAAAATTGAGAACAATATCGAACTCAACTTTAAGGGTTACTAATTAATCCAATGTGTCTCCAGTTACCTTTGGACTAGAAAATGCTTCCAAGAAAAAAAGAGAAAAAATATATAATTTATATATATAACTAACTGCAGACAGTACTGTTTCGGCCTTCTGAGCCTCATCAGTGCAGCAAATAAAGAGAAATTAAAAAGTTATTCAAGAATAACCATTAAGAGGTTACTTCTTCCTTGAAGGAAAGATTGACAGTGCTAGTGGAAAGGAAGTTTCATCATTTGTGCCACTTTTGAATAATGTGGCAGAACTGTATCCTGATTTGATGGGTAAGCTAACTTAAAAAAAATCCATTGCTAATGCAGAGACAAGGATCACTTGTTTGAAATATAACTTAGCAACTTAATGCTTCTGATAAAAAATATCCTATTTGTGCAACAGCCTGAAAAAACAACAAACAAAAAAAAAACATGCCCTTTCTAATATTGTAAATATGTCCAACAGCTAAAGTGCACAATTACCAAATCAACCCAGACGTAGGTCTTCCAGAAGAAAGCATCAGTCAGATACCTCCTCTGAAAAGTTCCCAACAGGCACGATCCAAGGCTACTGCCAGAGGAGTACCAAGCATGCCACCAAGATCTCCAGCAAGCCGTGCAGGATCAACTGGTGGTGCTGGGTTACCAAGTGTTACCAAAATTAGGAGCTCTCTTAAAGTATCAAAGTAGGCTTGCTAAATCAGCTTTAGACTGGGTTTTAATAAGATCAGAATACAAAACCTGTTACAAAGTCAGAAAACACTACATCAGAAGATCTTTTCAGTAAAAAATTCTCAACCAAAGACATTGACTAGTTTTGCACTAGGAGGCAATTTGTTTCTCCAAAAGGGCAGTTTTTTAACATCCTCTCTCCTCCATTACATTTCAAAATAAATGAAAAAAAATATGTCAAGTTCACTGAAAGGAAAAATTAAATTTGAAACAATCAAAGACAACAATATTGCATAAGAATACATGAGTGCCATTGCAGGAACCTGTCTTAACGTATCAACAAACAAATAAAAATTATGAATGTTTGTGTTGTTATCAATAAGGTCTATCTCTTCTTGCCACCCTTGGTGCCTGAATAGCAACATCAATGAAATCTCCTATTTGGAACTTTTTAGACTCAAGTGTTACAATGTCATCAGCCCCTTTGCGCCCTGCTGCAGTTGAACCAATTTCTTTCATGATGAACCCACCGCGACGAGCATCTGGAAATACAATGGCAAAGTCAAATATTGTGCCTTTGCGCCTTGCATCTGGATTGACTTCCTTGACTAGACTCATGAGCTCTTTCAAAGTCGCATCTTTCCTAAAATAAGGCACAAATAACCCATGTTACCACGTTATAGAAACACTCTGATTCCAAAGGCACCGGATTACTGGTAGATGTTCATGCAAATACTGATCAAGATTGCTGCATTTAGGATTGTGCAACCATAGCATTATTGTAATGGTATTGTTCTTCCTTCTCAACCTTACATCGTTACCTCTGATCAGTAGTATAGTTCTGATGTGAAAAGGCATAAAATTGGGGTAAACTTGAGAAATTAATTTAAGAATCAATTTTTGTTTGAAATAAGTCAGAAAGTGAAGGAAATTGGTTCCTATCTTGAAATTATGTCATTTCAGTCAATTCAGATGCATTTCAAGCTTTTATTGTTCTTGCCACATCTGAATCCTAGAAACTCCCAAATCCATAATCTTTGCTTTCAATTTCACTGCCTTGTGCTTATGAACAATACAGTACTTGACTGCATGCTTGAACATGCAGCACATGCTTAGGAAGTTTCTCACTGATTTCCTCACCTGATGCAATATTTTACTTCCTAATAAGGAAATCTAAAATAGTGCTTAATGATTCTGTAGACGTTGGGGTGATTTGGAAGTAAAGAAAGCCGTCAAAATGGCCAGAGCATTGCACTTGTCTTTGCTTGAAATTCATTCACTTACCTTCCTCAGGATCAAAATTGCTGACAATATATTGACAACAAAGTTTATAGCCAATATTTTCATTGGCCTTTAGCAGTTTCAATCGATTTAAGTACCAAAATTTAGCTTGTCATTTGAGCATTTTACTTATGTCAACATTGACATGCTCCACTGCACTTGTCGTAAACAATATGATTAGAAAATTCAACAGTCAATATTATCAAACAGATCACACTGCTTGCCAACTGTTTAGAACACAGAATAAAATTCAGATCTTGTCAACGTTTCAATAAAAACAAATAAAAAGAAAACAGATAAAAATCAACACTGCTTAAAACGGAACCATTTTCATCCTCTGTTCATTCTTCCAGTTATAAATGAAAGCTGGCAAAAACAGGGAAACAGGGGATAGTGAAGCCAACATGTGTTACACATGATGCCATGTTTTTGTTGCTAACTTTACAATTTGGATCTGATTCAATTTTTTCAAAGATCCTTTATTCTACCTCTGTTTACTCCAAAACCATCTTTAACACATGTGTAACAGTTTTGAAGAGTCTCAAGCAGATCTGATCATTGTGTGCTGAGTTCTTAAAGATTCGAGCAAATCCATCATTTTTCCATTTGCAAGTGATAAGCTCCCTATTGATCCTCTGCAATCCTTCACAGAAACAACCCTAAGCATGTCATTCTGTAAGCACACACAAACACCACCTAATAATCCTTTTATACAGGGTATTTTAATCATTCACATGTATTGGTCACATGTAAGTAGCAAGAGTTTGTATTTGAGCACCACCTAATAATCCCTTTATGCAGAGCACTTCAATCATGGATATGTATTGGTCATACATAGGTAGATAGGGTCTGTATTTGAGCCAAGTGGCCCCATCCAGCTGGAGCTTATTGCAGGTTTCCTGGCAGTATCACAAATCCCTCCTGAATAGGATGCCAATCCATTGCAATGTAACCCCCAGCCTTTCATCTGGCTCCCCAGACAGTTCTCCACTACGCATTTATACTCCTGGGTGGAGAAAGGCACTGTAAGGGTAGAGTGTTAAACCCCAGAACACAACACAGTGATCCACCCTGGTCTAAAAACCCACACCCCTCGACACAGACTTCAGTGTAATAACTGTTAGGTTATCACGTCTCTCACATCACCTCTAGTAACAGAGTACTGAGTTAACCTACCATGTGTACACTTGGAGCTCATTCGACGGTAAAGCTGTCCTGGAATATTCGTCTAACCTAATGTTATCACAAAACAAAACAAAAATAAAAGGACCTATTAGTATAGATAAAAACAGAGCAAAATCATGTGAGATCCAGCTACAAGCAGTTTTGAACTGGCCAAAATAATAATTTTATGATAAAGGGAGGGAGTTAATGTTTTCTTAGAAGCACAACAACTGTCTATAAACACTTGAAACTATATCACCTCATTTTTGCAAATCAAACAAATATCAAAATTCTCTATCCAACCTCCACAGCATTATCAGTAAGGAACACTCACTAAATGGCCACTGTCTCTCAAAAATTTGTTGAATAATTGTTTGACACTCAAACGAACCCAAGGAGAGGAAAAGAAATTATTCTAAAATATACAGCTAGATTCGATTCACCACGAAGTATATATACCTTACATTCAATCTACATGTAAGTGGCAAGTAAATTCAGGTAAATTTAGCTTTAAATCCATCTTTTGGTTTGTTAATTTGTGGACAAAAAATGACCCACAAAAAAGATTAGATTATAATCGTACAAGAATGATTGAAATTAAACACCGATTACGGGAAACGGAAATGAACTAACCTGTGATGTCGACCTTGATTACAAAACACTCTCAGAAGCAGCGGACAAGTCTGCCAGTAAACAAAGACAAGCAGTTGATGAGCATGCATCAATTTTGAATCGTTTACGGTGTTCCTAACATAAATTAAAAAGATCAAATCTGTACCTTTTCCCGATCAATCGTAGGCTTCTGATCACTTTTTTCTCGCTCTTTTTCCTGTTCTTTGTCTTTTTCTCGGTCTCGATCTCGGGAACGGTTCCTTGCCTTAAGTGGAGACGATGCTCGACCACGCGTGTCAGCCATCTTGAATTTAGGAACGTACCTCAGTAACGTAGCCTGATTGGTGGGGGTACAGAGGCTGATGGGAAGTATCAAAACGACACGAGCGCACGCGCTCGCTCCGCGCTCGTCAAATGTTTCCGAAAATAGTGTGCATAGTCTGGATTTCAGCCGTCTCTTCCCTTTACCCCAGAGGAGGCTCGGGAGAGAGAAGTCGTCTCTCTCCCGCGTCCCCCTTGGGGTATAGGGAAGAGACGGCTGAAATTCAGACTATAGTGTGCAGTGCTCCTACTTGTCTTGTCCTTCGCTCTGGCGAAGGGCTAACGCTCGAAACGTCTGCAGCTTTTAAACTCTATCACCCACCGACGCAGCACCTCAGTTGCTTTATAAACTTGCCCCTGTAGTAAAATTATTGCTAAGTTAACGATTTTTGAACGTTTAGGATATATTCCTTATTGGCCATAAACAGACTCACATCCTCCTTAGCCGCGTTGTCAAACCAGAAAAAATTTAGAGATGCGTCGAAAGCCGTTCATTTTCACAAATTTCTATATTGCTGTCAAATTAGCTGAGATGATCAAGGCACAAAAGGTGGCTGTAGTAGATCCGAAGTCCGAAACCACTACCGTTCTGCTGTTATGCCACCAAAATTAAATGCTTTTAATAATAGACCTAAACTACGAGTACAATTCCAATTCTCGATCAGAGGGCACACAGCGAATGCAATATAAACTACCCACAATAAGAATTTCACTGTTTTCGTGCGCGAAAAGTGTGTAGTGACTACCCAGCCTATTTTCAAGACCTACATCGGCCCAGTCCCTCCTACGTGTCACCATGGTAACGAAGATGTTTTATAAGCATATCAGGACACGGACAGGGGTTGCATGATGATGTTCGGGTCTGAGGAGGGGGTGGGGGTCGCACAACAACGCCTTTGGCAACATACCTTGTTGTTTTATTGTCACTGATGACGCATTTTATCAACAAAGAGGGGTTCAATTGAATCTCAGAACCTCCCGGCAGCATTCTTGCTAAAGGTGTAAAAAAATAAGGTGTTCACATCATAAAAGAACCAAAGATGTTACGAAAACGTTTTTTATTTCATATCTAAACTGTCCTTCAAAGTTCCTCTTTGGAGTTTCGTTTTCCAGATCTTTTCACTGGATGAATGTCGTAATCTCCATCTCCTGCTCCATCTTCATAATCCTCTTCATTCAACTCATCGTTTTCTTGAAGTTTCTCCTGAGCTCGCTCCATCAAGTCACCAAGCCTGAAGTATTCGTTAGTCAGGGCGCGTATGGTTTCCTAAATTAAATCAGATTCAATGTTAACATAACAGATTAGTTGCAAATCCTCAGCGTGACCCTCCGGAAAATTTCAGAACTTCTGATAGTTATCGCTGTACAATTATTTTACAAAACTATGACTATCACAAAACTCACATTAAAAGCTTTATGATTATTAGTCAATTTATGCCGAAATGAACTCCGTAATGACAAGGAATTCGAGCCGGAAAGTATTTCTGACTAGCTGTTGAAACCTAATTCTTTGAAAGGCTCCGCCTCATGTCTCCCCACTGCAAATTAATCAGTTATAATTCAACCAATGCTTTTGAAAGTCTAACATTTCCTCGTAAACAATTTTCAAAAATACCAAAGAAAAATAATACAATTATTTGTCTCCTTTAAGCAGAGTTTCACTCAGGCCCCCCTAATCGCAGAATAGCAAAATCTTTAAGTTAACGGCCCTTCTCTCATCGGTTGCACTTACGTCATCAGCTTTTTCTAGTTCTTCGAGATCAGCCCAAGAGAAAGACTTGTCCTCATCTGTGTCCATCAATTTGAAGAGCTGGATAGTTTAACAAATAGATTTGTCGAGATTCAGAGTACAAATATAACGTTTAACTTGCGGAGGAAGTCACCTGGGATCTTACCAAACTGACACTAATCATCAGAACCCATTGAGTGGACTTTACAATATTTTTTTGGACGAAAAAATTAAAACTTCCCTCAGTTGAGAAAGTGAACGTGTACAGCAAGTGCATTGAGTTACGAGGAAGATTTTTGTCTCTGTATGTAGGACTTTTTCTAATCGTACCTTTTTAGTTGTTGATTTCATGTCCTCGGTCCACGTTAAGACGTTATTATTGCCAAAATAAGGATCCTAAAGGAAAGAAAAATTGGTTTTCAAGTGACGATGGGCGATCAATTGTATCGCATCATCCGAGCAACATCACCTGGTCTTATTGGAAAACGTAACAGAACAAAGTACTTTTGGAAATGAATAGTATCAGTTGCAATATATATTACAAAAACAAGAGCAGAGATACTGAAAAACTTTATGAGAAACAGATAAACTAAATTCTGTAGCGACAAGGAAAAGGGAAAGAAGTTGAAAGGACCTGAGGTTAATACTAAGTTAACTATAGCTTCGCCCTTTATCTGAAAATAATTTGTATGAAATAGTTCAAGTTTATCCTTCTTTCAAAATCTATTCTGTAATGATTTTTGGCAATGGTAATGTATGAAAAAAATTCACCTAAGGTCCCCTTTCAATCCTTTTTTGCTTCGCTGTTACTATACTATTCTCTACGTATTTTCGATAAGGGTACAAATCTTTTTTTATTGTTGGTACAAAAGAAAATAATGGGACCATCCTTCTTTGATTTTCATACTGATTATTAATTTCAAATCGATCTGTTATTTTGAACAAAAAATGAATGCAAGAAGTGAGTATTTTTAGTGCGGAAACTTGTGAGTATTTTTAAGAACAAGTTGTAAGTATTCTTTTAGTGCCGCATGTTATATGTACCTTTCTTATTTTTTGGACAAATGTCTTGAATGAAATTTGGACACTCTTGCCGAGAAAGTGTTCCAAATGGTTCCTACAAGACAAATTAAGATGTAGTTTACTTACTACTCATCGGCACAGGGAGTCCTTGGTTAATTCCTGGTATAATTTTTCCAGTTCATAAGAGTTAGTATAATTTTTCTTACTGTGCTCTACTGAGCTGAGAGCAGAATTTAAGGCCAAGAGCTCGCACGTTTTGGTTATAAACCAGCAATATCCAGACGGTTAATTTACTCCTGTTTCGCACCCACAATAACCTGGGTAAACCCGAGATAAAATTCGCGTTTCCTCGACTTATTAGACGATCTTCAAACAAACAAGCGTATCCTTAAAGAGGAGACAGCTTCCCGAATTGAATTGAAGACGAATTGAATCTAAAACCCTGCCCTGCAAACTTACTTACGGCCAGCTTACTTACATCAAAGTTTCCTCTGGTTGGTCGATGAGTTTCTCTACTGTGGTGAACGTAAATTTGTCCAGGGTTTGATTCTGTTCCATTCCGTCACAATCCTCAGGAACGAAGTTTGGTGTATACTTCCACCAAAGATTGACTGCTATGTTGCGATTATACGAGCGAACTTGGTGAAACCTAAAAACAAGAAAGAACAACACATGACAGCTGCTGCTTAGGAACTGAATATCCCATCACCACAACTTTTAAACCTAACTTCAGATATCAATCAATCAATCAATCAATAAACTTTATTTAAGGAGGGACGCTCATTAACCCAAGGAGTTATCTAACATGAGAATCAATGCAAGGTTTTGCTATATTCATATCTACAGATGACAGTTCAATCGGAGCTGCAAAAAGCGAACCTGGCAAATTTAAGTCAAAGCCAACAAGTTAGGAAATGGAACCCTCTTTTGGTACTCCACTATTCAGGGTAAAACATGTTTTGAGCAACGGCGGACGATTTTTGGACGACTTTGAAGCAGTAAAAATTGGTCATCGAAGGTTTGTTTTGAGTTTTTAATGGCGAAAAGGGTTTTAACTTGACCCAATTCAACACTCTGTAAACAAATAAGCCCAAAATAAAATTGTCAATTTTCCTCTCAGGGGCACTTTAATGAGCTAATACTTCATTCCCGGCTGACGAAAGTGCCCCCCATAACCTTTGGATCTGATTCTTTCATTGAAGGAACATGCACATCTGGCAAGGACCTCTTTTTTCTGGTAACACGGATGTTGTCCGAATAGAGATTATATTGTATAAGCTGTTATGTATTTTTTTATTATTAATATTATTATATTTTTCGCGTTTGATAATCCTAATACGATTTTTGTCACTTTACTCAGTCGGTTACATATCAAACTTGTCTTAGGAGTCAAAGCCATGGATGCTCACAGCCAGAATAAAGCATATAACGCTAAAAAGTCAAGTTCAAAGATAAAGAAGGCATTAAGAGAAGGGGCTAGTCATTATTTACCTGGGGGGGGGGAAGGTCGGAGGATTTTGCGAGGTATCAGATGGTTTTCAGGGGATAGCAGTGGGAGATCCGTCGTTAACAAAGTATAAAGGAAGGAATAAAGGCTGATAGTTTCTAAAGAAACTGTTTGGCGCTGCGTCGGTGGGGGTAACGAAATAATTTGAATATTATGACGAACGAAGAAGGGCTAACGCTCGAAACGTCAGCTTTTATAACCGTAACGGTGGCCAATTTACCATTTCAACTTTGTTGATATATTCAAATTATAAAGGAAGGACTTAAGAAAATTGACAGCCAATGAAGTAGGTAATTAGAATACTACAGAGCCTTAGAGGGAGATCGGGTAAATTTTATCATATCACAACCAAAGTCCACCGACCCTCCCCCACCCCCCTCCCAAGCGATTACTAATTGACTGGTTGCTCATTTTTCAGTCACCATCTGTGAGGGATATACAAACAGTCTCCAGCTTTCAACGTCACATTGTAGTACTCGACATTGATGAGACCAGGATACTTCACAAAGTCTACTCTGAAAACAAAATACAGAACACTATCAAAAGACAAAAAAGAGAATTTCAAATATCGTGTGTAATGCTATAACTAGTAGTAGAATACAGCGTAACTCATGGACGGATTAAGGACTTTTTGGTAGAAGGGATATTGGAAAATTTACATATATTTTTTTTTACTCGAGGACTTAAACAAGCTAAGAAATATTTCAAGATAAGTAATTTTTAAGAGCTTCAAGTTGAGAAGTAATCTATGATCCTGTCGTTGCAAGAATTTTGATGAACCACGGGCCCTGAGTAAAAGGGGAATGTATACCCTCTCAGGATTCTCCCTTTGACTCAGTGTAACAATGATGTGGCGTTCGTCGAGGAAGGGGACGCCTGGTGGGTGTCACGTGATGGAACACGGGTGAACTACTGGGGAGGAGCTAAAGGGTCTTATAAGATTTGCGCATGCGGAGTAACAAATTCTAAAAGCTTCTCGTCACTCGTCTCCAGGTCAGTTTTGTTTCGTCAGTTGTGGGCGTGGCAAGCGTGACAACCTTTTATGTTAATTTGCAAATGAAAAATTCAACTTGTCTGTCATTAAACAAAAAAGAATAATGAAATTGTTTCAGTGATTGTCTTATTTGAAACAGACTGGGATTACCTGTCTACATCTACACCAGAGTATCTTCCTTCTGGGAAGTCGATGGGAACCTGGAAAAAAAACATGTCATTAACAGTTTGTTACGATCAAATGACATAAGTTGAATAATTGTAGCTTATTTATTATCAAGTTTCCACATCGCTTTCTTTTATGTGGCAGTATGTAATATGTGTTGACGTATGTAGTCTTATCTTGTATAAAGATGGTTTATATGTCCATATTTGTATGCCACCTTGAAATTTAAAACTTATGGGTCCAGCACTATGTGTCTGCGTGTCACAACCAGGATGTATGATTAACTGAAACTACAAGTATTGGCTTATTTTTGGAGCGGCAAGAACGAGTACCGCGATGAAAAATGTTAGTCGGTAACGTAACATCGAAATCAACGTCCTGGTGGTGATGGAAAAATATCCTCTCGAAATATCACCCATTATAAGCTGAAAAATATCTTGCTGAAGTATTATTGGTGTATTCGTGGCAGGTAGCATATATGCCCTATCTAAAACTTCTGGGGGATATCCAGTAAAATTCTCCCATAATCAAACCTCAGGTCCAATATCATTTAAGAGTCTTCCATTACGGTTTAAGTCTTTAAAAGACACAGTTTTCCTTAAACTTCGCTCTTGGAAGACCGTTCGCTTTTCTGAACAAAGAATGTCCGCGGACATATATCCGAGCATATTTAAGGGCTAACTGAAAGCTATCGTTTACTCACTTGACCAAAAAAAAAATTCGAATATAAATTGGAGGGGGATTGGAAACCCTCTGTCTACGAAAGTTTTTTTTTTTTTAATCAGAGCTATATCTTGTTTTCTCTTCTTACCACATGTTTGTACTTGTGATAATCGATGAATAATAATTCTTTTGTTCCAGCAAACAAGCAGTTGATGTTTTCCAGTCCATCATCAAAATGTAGAACCGACTTGGTTCCTCCGCTGCTGAACCACATCACCTACAACACATCCAACAAACATGGATTCATTTTATGACCCGGCTCCACAGAAACAGAGACTTTAAACGGAAGGTTATACTCACTGCATCAGTTAACATGTCCGAAGTTTCTGTTATATCCCGGCACAAAAGCGGAGAAGGAAGAAGAACATCGCTTCTGGGAGAGAAAGGAAACCCGAAATTGAGAGCTGATATACCTTCGTTATCTCAGTGCTAGGGCAGATCCAGGATTTAGTCAAGGGGGCTCGGAGAATTGTCTAAGGGCATGCCCTACCGGGATATTTTGAAAATTAGGTCTTCGGAAACATGATTTCCAGCATTTTGAGGGATAATTTAGGGGGTTCGACCGCGACCGAACCACCCGAACCACCCCTGGATCCGCCCCAGCAGTGTAATTCTCTCTTAAATTATAAAGAAATTGAAAAAATCTTATTACAAAACCAAATACTTTAGCACAACGAAAACAAATTTCCCTTGTTTAGCACTAATTGATATGCCCCAAGTACATCAGAGCAAGAGTGTAAGGAGAACCGGTCCAACATAACCACGAGATAAGATCACTTTGATAGATTAAACGTAGCCGTTTTTTTTTTCTCTAATGTTTTGACTTTATGATGAATTCAAATGATTTTGGTATTCCTAAACCACAACAATCAGGTCAATCTGTTTGTTGTTTTCGAATTTACCATGTGAACCTTTCCCTGGGAAGTGACTCGACAGGCATCCTAAACTAACTGACGTAAATATAAGAATGCAAGAAGACTGATGATGACGTGTCTTATACATATTGGCCCAGTCGCAAGAGCACGTAGAAGCAAAGTTTATGATTAAATAAGAGTAGTTATAAATTACTAAGAAATCAAAGAAATTGAAGGAAAAAAAAAGAGAACCATGACAACAAGAAATGCATAAACTTACTTCATAAACTCGGGCACAGAGCTCACCATATAAACATCTTTTTCCTTGTAACTCTTAACAAATTCACTGAAGGGAATTTCTGCGTAAGGTCCCGTTCGCTCTTCTTTCTTTCTTTGTTCTACTTGTATTTTTACTTCGTTCGCTTCGGGACGAGACAAGAAGTATTCATCACTCCATTTATGAAAGGCTGTCGACAATTTTGCGGCGTTTTGAATGAGAACTGGCCGGCCAGGAACTACATATGTCTCAAAGAACGTTTTTGGGTCGGGAAAGTTCTGTATAACTTCCAGAGAGTGTTTTATGTTTCTTGAACCGAGCGGTTCTAGATGACCGAGTATTGAAGCACCATCTTGGGTCTCGGCTCCGTCGGTTTCTGAAGTTCTCACGAGCAGTAAACACGACAATAACAAACTGAAAATCGTGAAGAGAAGCCAAGAGAAAGATCTCATGGTTATAAGCTTTAGTCGAAATATCGTTTGAGCAAAATATTCCTAAGAAGAGAGGAATTTATTTATAGGGCACTTGAATATTGGAGTAGAGATTGGCTTTTGTGTTCAAGTCACGAAACTTTTAGAATGTCTTAACATAATAGGTAAAAATTGCAAACAAGTTTCAAAATTTATTCAAATGTTCACGTCTTCTGACTATTTAGGCGTTAAACCTGATTGATTGGCTGCAATATGGCACTTTTGGTAACACAGAAAAACCCGCATAAAACCCATGATTTCCAGGCCCGAGCTGGTATGTCATTGCATATCAAGTCCCCTTGTGAGTTATCAATACCGGTTTTATGAGGTTCTTTAATCAATCTTTTTGTGGAAAAATTACTTTATTCACATGGAGTTTTGACTCATTTATTTTGTACTCACCAGTAAGGTTTTGAAATTATATTCTGTTATCTACCGAATGTGTGGTTTCAGGAAATCATTCTTTCATTGATTATTTTAGCTGAGAGTGATCCCTAATTTCCACCTTTAAAGTTTAAAAGCCGTACATTTTAAAGACAGTTTAACATCCCTAAGCATATTACGTCATTTACTTAATCTTAATTGTATAAGGCAGTCCACTAGTCGTGTTTTACCTAGCGTGCTGTATGTCATAAAGTTAAGTAATGGTCTAGCACTCATATTTTGATATGTGCCATTGTTTTCTGAATTATGATTATTGAATTTATGGCAGAAGAACCCGTTCCATTTTTTCTGTAGCCTGAACTGGTTTTCATTTGTATGGTGCTCGGTTCATCAACAGCCTCATGATATTCTAAACACACTTGTTTTAGTATACGGTATTTAAAGGGGAACTGAAGCCTAAAATTGGTATATTGTTTGCATTCATTTCAAGTTAGCTTCAGAGGAGTAAGATAAAGTGTCGATATTTATTTTCGTTCACTTCTTGTTTTTTACGAGAAAATTCGATTTGAAGTTGTCTTTTTCCCGCTTTTGGGGCTGTAAGACCGTCGGCTCCAAATAAGTCAGCAGCGGTCGTTTATGACGTCGTGGTGGGAAACCAACTTAAGTAAAACAACTGTTACTATTTCATTTTCGTAGTCAATCCCCATTCTTCCCCTTTAAATACCGTATACTAAAACAAGTGTGTTTAGAATATCATGAGGCTGTTGATGAACCGAGCACCATACAAATGAAAACCAGTTCAGGCTACTGAAAAAATGGAACGGGTTCTTATGCCATAAATTCAGTAATCAAATTCAGAAAACAATGGCACATATCAAAATATGAGTGCTAGACCATTACTTAACTTTAAGTAGGGGCTCTTATTTTTCTTCCCATCAGTGACGTAAGAGCGAGCTAAAATGACCGCTGACATCACTTTTTTGAGCCGCCGTACCACGAGGCCAAAATACCACTTTAAACGTCACTTTAAACTATTTTTTCGAGGCGAAGTTGGGCCCAAAGACTGAAAAAAAAACCCTCGAACATTGCTATTTGAACTATAAGCTGCAATTTAAAAATGTTTAATTTTTAGGCTTCAGTTCCCCTTTAAAGTACTTTATACGATTTCTTATAGGACAGCTGTTTCACCAAAGTTAGCTCGTAATTGACCAACCTGGACCAATCGTTTATAAACTAAATATAGATTGAACTCAGTATCCGGGATATATCTGTCTGCTTACGTACGAAAAATGTTGGTGTGTATAACTTCTTAACTCAATTAAATCCATTCAACGTAATAATCAGAAATATGACCCCATGCAACCTCTCATCAGCTAGTATTACTCAAGGTCTAAAATGTATTCGTGGACGAAGAAAAGCTCTAATTAAGGCTAACAACTAGGGCTTGCTCTTACGCTAGTCTAGGTTTGGAGCTGTGGCTGAACCTTGTTATATTTTGAGAAGCCTGGAAAGGTTCCCGTGATTTCCTCACGCTTACAAGCATATGTTTCATTAAATCCATGCAGACTTGACCACGAAACGTATGTTCCAATTGTTTTTTGCAATGTGGTAGGTCAAGTTAGTTTTCACATGCTGTGCGACTTCTTATGCCGCGACTAAAACTCATGGCAAATTTAGCACAACAAAAAATAAATAAACAGGTTTACAACGCAGCTACCTTTCATGTATAATGGTTCATAATTACTCATAACACTCAGTAAAGGAAAAAAAAATGAACACTTAGTTTTAGTCACAGGCGTTATCGTCTTGGGGATGAATGAGCCAAGTGCTTGAATGTCTTTGTACAAACTTCGTGCAACATGTCCTGACATCCGTTCCTGGTTTTAGGATTTGGGGTCATATTCCCTCGTTCCAGGTTTTGGGATTTGGGGTCATATTCCGTCGTTCCGGATTTTAGGATTTGGGGTCATATTCTGTCATTCCGGTATTCCATCATTCCGTCATTCCATCTTCCTGCTTTTTAGGGTCGTCCTTTTCAACGGCGCACAAAGAAACCTAAGCGTCTCCAGCTCGCGCGCATCTTCTCTGTTGTCCAGGTTTTACATCACTAGTCCCAGTCTCCCTTTTACTCGGTCGTGGGAAGAAAAAAACTGACTTAAAAAATTCATAAAAAATTCAAGATTTGACCAAAAACAAAAATTTTTGCGCCATTTTGCTCAGAATTATAAAAATATTTATTTAAGCAAAAAAAAATTTGGGGGTTTATGGATACTTTAAATGTCAAGCCTTACAATGAAGTTGATATTCATCTATTTAAAAAAATTACTGTTATTACTATTATGAATATGGTAAAGTAATTTAATTTAGAACGTGTTCTTCATGTGATCCCTAAAAATTAGTTATCATACAATGCATTGCTCTAAGCTGGAACAGTTTGACATGAAGCTTAGCACTAGGGCTGGTTATTTAAACAAAGTTTACCTGTTGTTCAACAAAACCAAGCCCTCAGCCATCTTCAATTTAGTTGAATCTTTCATTTGAACATTTCTTTTGGTGAACAGTGTCAAGATGGCTGAGAGCTAATAGTGGAGGGACATTCATTGAATCAAATCAACCTTTGTATAGAAGTCACTGRRGSC